ATACACTGCTCACTGGCATCAGTGTATAGCACCATGGGCTTGCTGAGGTCTGGGTACGTCAGCAGTGGAACGGCTGTTAGCTGCTCTTTTAAGGTATCAAATGCCCGTTGGCAGTTTGCTGTCCATTTGAACCTAGCGTATTTCTTCGTCAGTGCTACTAGGGGTATGGCAATTCTCGAGAATGCCGGGACGAATCGTCGGTAGTACTCTATAGCACCTATAAATCCTCTTACTTGTCTCACTGACTTAGGTTCTGGCATTTCCCTTATGACTTTTACCTTATCCACGTCAGGCTTAATGCCTTCTCTGTTTATAACAAAGCCCAAATATCTAGTCTCATCCTTCAGAAACTGTCATTTCGATAATTTCAATTTTAATTCGTGCTTTCTTAATCTTCCCAGTACGTGTTTTAGATGGAAAAGTGTTGTTCTACCGTTTCTGAAAACATCAGAATATCGTCTAAATATCCCATGGCAAAACTCTCGCATCCCCATAACACTATTGACATAAGTTGTTGGAAGATTCCCGGGGCATTAGCCAAACCGAATGGCATCACCCTGAACTGAAATAGTCTGAGGTGACACGCAAATGCGGCTTTTTCCTTGTCAGCCTCATCCAGGGTTACCTGCCAATACCGGGACCTCAAGTCCAACGTGGTGAAGTACTTCACCTTCCCTAATAATGCCAATGTCATCAATTAGTAGCAATGGCACCGCCAAAGGCTTAGATATGGAATTCAGTTTCCTAAAATGCACACAAAAACGGTGCCCGCAATCTTTCTTGTCTACTCTCACGATTGGAAAGCTCCAAGGGGAAATTGATCTTTCTATCATCCCAGCTTCCAACATCTCTTCTACTGCCTCTTCCACTAGGGGTCTCTTATGAACAGGTGTTCTATAAGACGGGGGAGGGGGTGATCGCCGGTATCGATCTTCATTTTTACTGTGTGGGTCTGGCCTAATTCCTTATCTGATTTGGCCACCACATCCCGATTATTTCATAGCAGACTTCCCACTCTGGCGCTAAATTGATCAGGGGCCAATATCTCTTCGTCTGCTATTTCTTCTGGTTGTTCTACGCGTTTTCTTTGCTTCTCATCGAATTTCACTCGATTCAGAGTTCGTAGGGGTAGTGCCTTTCCCACCTCCTCCCCTCTCCTGACCTTTATCGTCTTGTGGGCCTGGTTCACCATGATAATGGGCACTAATTCAGCTGCCTCTACTACTGCCTACTTATCCCATTCTCTTCTTCAATTGCAGGGTTCCTTTTTCTATTCTCTTCCCTGTTATCTGCCTACCTTTGCCAGACACCGCCGTTCTCGGGGGTAGCTTTATATCTTCCTCCAGCACTATTGTTATAACTTCTTCCGGTGGACCTCCCAATGGCGTTCTCTCGCTATTTACTACCAACACGGTGGGGTTGAACTCTATCCGAGCCTTCTGGCTCTGAAGCCAATCTTCTCCCAATATTGCTTCCGTACACAGGTTCCAATCCTCACAGGGAGCCTCGCCATCCCTTTTATCTCCAGGGGTCCACAATCCGCCTGTGTGATTTCTATGTCCGCTTCTTGTATCCCTTCCTTCTGTTTCACTCGTCTGTAGTCTTTTTCTCTCAGCAACGAAACAGACGCTCCTCTGTCTCTCAGAGCTTTCATTGTCCTACCCGCTATTTCTGCCCTATTTTTTCTCTTGCGTCAGCGAAGAGAACACCTTGGCTTTCCTTCTCCTGAGTTCCCACCTCTGGGTCATGCCAGCCATAGGTGTCGACAGCAACAACTTCCCGTTATCCTCCTCACATAGGAGAGTCCTTCGTTTTCTCCACCTGGGAGGTCCCGGCTGTACCATCCACAGTCTCTCTCCGTTGTTTCTGGAATCATAATTCCTCCTCAGGTGCCCTGGTCTTCTACAAAACCAGCACCTTCTTGTGGGGAAGTTGACCGCACAGTGGCCCACCTGACCACATACCCAACATTTTATGCTTCTTCTCCTTAACTGGGACAACCTCCTTTTTTATTTCTGGGGGCCCTACCCTCCAACCCAAGTGGCTCCCCTGGCCACATATCCGACGTTTTACGTTCCTATTTTTTTAACTGGGCCACCCTCCCTCTTAATTCCGGGGTGGCCCGCTGGTTTTTCCCTGATTCTGTCTTTCGAGCGCAGACTTCTTTAACAATATCGGTGGGGCACATTTTCTTATCCCACACTACTTGGCTAGGTGTCCCTTCTTCCCACACCTAGTAAACCTATCTTGCTCAAAGTCTGGGGGCAATTCCCACTTCGTCGGGCAGTCCGCTGCTCTGTGGTCCTCATACCCACAGGTCCAGCAGACCAACCCATATCAACCCGGTGTGGGCTTATAAAACCCCTGGCTTGTCGACCAAGCCTTTCTTTAGGGATCCTCTTCCCACATCTCAGGCTCCTCCACCTCTAGGAGGCTCTCCCTCCTTCCCCCTTTCTTCCTACCTCCAGACTTTGCTCTTGTGCCTTCGTACCTTTCGTTACCTTTTCCCATACTCCCTGGCTCTCCTTGGCCAGCGCCACCGCCGCCGACAACTTTAGCTGTCATTCTTTTAGCATATCGTGACGAATACGCTCGTCTCTGAGCACTCCCACATACAGATCGGCCAACTGGGCCTGCATCGTGGCATTATTTCTCACTACCTCTGGGAAAGCCAGTGACGACAGCTTCTTCGCTCGGGTCCCCAACTCTCCAGGGGTTTCGTCTCCCAGCTTCGTCTTCAGGATGGCTCTCACGGACTCTATCACTGTGCCTTCGTCAGCGAACTCCTGAGTCAATAATACTTCCAGTCTTTTCCATGTTAAGTGGGGCTCACTGATTAAGAGTCCCTTTATGAACTCGGACACTTTCCCCCTGGTGGCATCATACGCTAAATATAGGGTTTCTCGATCCGACAGTCCATATATCATGCGGCTCTTATCTAGAATTGCCAGCCATTTCTTAAAACTCTTTGGGCTACCATCGAAGGCTGGAACCCTCGGTCCTCCCAACAATTTCCTTAGATCCACTGACAATCCCTGTTCGACCTCCACTTCCTCCATGTCTACCCCATCTGAATCGGGGTCAGATATATTTAAACTACTTCACAAGAAAAAAAGAAACACAATCAAAGCAGCAACAATCGAAATTGGGAGATTAACCGAAAAAAAAGTGTCCTACCTGACAGACGATTTCCAGCTCGTTCTTCTCAGGTTCCTGGCTGTCGTACTAGAGGGTCTGGAACCGTATGGTTATAATTAGCCAACGTCCTTTTCTTCCCACTCTAGTCTGTTTCTTTTTGTCCACTTGACACGCCGTGCGTTGTCCTGTTCGAAATTTTTCGCAACTCCTGTGGCAGTGGTTAGTTCAGGGTCGAATCCTGGTCACGGCACCAATATATGACAAGCTCCGGTGGTCGCGGTCGCAGCGCCAGCGCCAATATGGGACGTCGCGACGTCAATATATGACACGGCGCCGTCGGCCCAGTTGACTTCTTGTCGCTGCCATCAGCTTATGTCCCCGTCGATCTGGTCGTTTCCGGTTCGATACCAGCTTTGTCGTTCTCAGCTCACCTCCAACGCTTGGTCACCGAAGTAACTGTTTTGATCTCAAGCCTAACCTACCCACGTTGTGACTTTGATCTTAGGTAGACGAAATCAATCAGGCGCCGGGCCGTAGTGCAAGCTGAATCCGGGGTAAAGGTGATACCGCACAAGCGTAAGTAAAAGAAAAATAATAAAACAAACTCACGAGGTTCAAATATGTTGAGAAATAACAATTATCTTTATCTATCTGTTGAATACAGGGGTGTGTTTCTCTCACGGCTCGTTTCTATGAATTTGTGACACGTTTTGCGTTTCTTAAGCGAGTTATGGTATCTTAAGTCGTTCGTCAATAGAAACTTGCTTTTGGTAGGAAGACTAAATCGAAAGGCGTGGAAATCTTTCAGTCAGCTACTGCGAGGCTGGTCTCCAACTGCGACTCCGAACTCTCGTGAAACTCTGTCGAATAAACACTCTCTAGCTGCCTCGAGACGTTTATTTATATGGACACCGACCAACTCCGGTGGTCGTGTTCCACCTGAAAATCAAATTCTTTATTTTTCTCGTGTTTTAAAATTTTCAAACAGTTTGAATAAGCAATAACAATGATCATATCAAGATCTGTATACATAACGGCTGGCTTTCTTTGTCGGAATCCAAGAATGAAAAATATTAATGGTATCTCTGACAGATAACTAATATTGATTTCTTCTGCCTGTATGCAGTTGACTGAAGCCGAATTTTTTTTATGGTCGCCGTGTGTGGTCGGCTTTGTCATTCCTCTCCGAATTCTGTTTACCTTGGCGCGTCACTATCTGATCATGACTTTAATTAATTCTGACAGAATCTGAAATCTGTCTTTCTCTTACGGATTTTCTGTCTTCTGCGAGAAAGTATATTTCTTCGTAAATGAAATAAAAATTTCTCCCATTCTTTTTTTGTTAAAAAAGAAATGTCGCTCGGTCTGTCTTTCGATATAGCTCTTTCTCGCCTTAAGTATTTCTTGTTCTTAATTTCTATGCTTAATTAGTTAGCCAATTACCATAGCTAAATAGTGTCACATTTCCTCTTAATAATAACATAAACATTTAGATGATAAAGTTTTTTTTTTTTTCGTCAAGTTTGGCGTCTTTTTCGTCATGCTATACTCTTTTTAGCGATGTCTTGAAGGTATCTAAGTTAATCAGTTTTGTTAAATGTATGTTTAATTTTTTTTATTGTATTTTTCCAATTATCAAATAACATAAATCAGGATAAAAATGAGGATAAATTATCCGAACGTCAGGTTTTGGTGACCATCTCCGTCATTATCACGAATAGGGTGTTGTTAGTGTTATAAATAAGATATACTGGTAATGTTTTAAAATCAAATCAGTCTCAAGTGACATCATATGTAAATGTTAAATATTACTACACATTAAGGTTAAATTTATATTACTACATAATTAGATTAAATTAGCAATGGGCAATACTAACAATTTCGCCATTACCTTATGGATATTATATCTCATTATTTCTTTTATTTTCTTTCTTTCTCTCATTCTCACATTATTTCTCATTTTCTTTCTTTCTCACATTCATTCATTCTCTCATTTTCTTTATTTCTCTCTCTCTCTCTCTCTCTCTCTCTCACACACACACACTCATTCTTTCCCTCTTTTTTTCTCATTTTTTCTCTCACATTACTTCCTTCTCACATCTTTCTTTCTCTCACAATCCTTCTATAAATTTTATCTTTCACATTCATTTTATTTCTTTATCGCACATTTTCTCTTTCTGGAATTCTCGTTATTTCTTCCTTTTTTATTTTCTTTTTCTCATTCTTTTTATTTCTTCCACTTTCATTTTCTATTTCTTTCATTTTCGTTATTTCTTCATCTCATATTCATTCCCTCATTCTCTTTATTTATTTCTCTCTCATTTTCTCTCTTTCTTGTTCTTCCTTTCTCTGTCATTTTCTCGCAATTTCTTTCTCTGTTATTTTATCGTACTTTCTTTCTCTCTCTTGCTCTCTCTCTCTCTCTCTCTCTCTCTTCATTGTTCATTTTCTCTTCCATTTTCTTTCTCATTTTCTCTTTCTTTCTTTTATTTTTTTTTGCTTTCTCATTTTCTTTTTCTTTCTCTCATTCTCAGTCCCTCTTTCTTTCTTTCACTCTTCCTTTTTTATCTTTCCTTCATTTTTCTTTCTCTTCTCTCTCATTTTCTATTTTTTTCTATCTCTCTCATTTTTCTTTCTCATTTCCTCTTTCTTTCTCAGATTTTCTCTTTCGTTCTCTCTGATTTTCTTTTATTTCCCCTTCGCTCGGTCTCTCTCTCTCTCTCTCTCTCTGGATTTCATTCTCTTTATCCCTCTCTCGTTTTCTTTCTTCCTCTCAATATTCTCTTTCTCATTTTCTCTTTCTTTCTCTCTCTGTCTCATTTTCCTTCTTCCTCTCTCTCATTTTCTTTTTCTTTCACTCTCTTCCATTTCTTTCTTTCTCTCAGTCTCTCATTTTCTTTGTTTCTATCACTCTCTCTCATGTTCTCTGTTTCTCTATCATTTTACTTTCTCTCTCTCTTTTTCTCTTTCTCTCTCTCCCTCTTTCTCTTTCTCTCTCTTTCTCTCTCTCTAATGTCCTCTTTTATTTTTCTTTCTTTGTATCAGAGTTTAGTCTGTAAGTCTACTGGATAGACTAAGCCGAAAGTTGGCACCCGCATATGGAACGTTCATAATAGAAAAGAAAATTAATCCAAACACGGAGAACCCTTTCATGACAAAAGAGGAAAACCGACAACGCTCAAAAATATTCAACGACCTGAAATATTAACGTTAAGATCGTTACAGGATAAGATAAACAGGAATAAACAGCAGGAGCAGATGGGATTTTAATAGAAATGTTACCAGTTTAGACGGGTTCGACAATATTGTGGAAATAATAAATGAAATATACGACCATGGAGATATCCCAGAAGACCTTAATAGACCCATCTTCATAGTGCTGTCTAAGAAACCAGTGGTAAATGAATATGAGTTCAATCAGACAACTAGGTTAATGAGCCACATAGATAAGCTTATCATCCGGATTCTGGGCGTGTGGCCAAATTAGACCAGGAATAGGACAATAACATTGATCTTTCATTAAAGACACTGGAACAAAATATGCAACATTTATTATCGGAATTATATCGCAGAGTGCAATACAAATGCAGAAATACGTATACACCTGCTTCATAGACTGCACAAAACAATTCTAAGATAAAATACGACGCAAATAGCTACGAGCTGCTAGGAAAATTTGATTTTGGAATTATATTAGCATAAGGCAGAATATATACTGGGGGGGTAATCGTGTGCATACGTATAAAAATTGAATTTAGTATGTACGCAAAAATAGAAGTGTAAGGCATGGACGCGTCCTCTCGCCGGATTTATTTATACAGTGAGGCGTTCCTAAGGGAACTAAGATTCTCATCATGATTTATTATTAGTGGGCAAAATCTTAATATAAGATACGCAAATGACAGTGTGTCAGTGGTAGCGAGAAGAAAGTGCTAACCATCAAGTACAGAAACTGGAAAGTGTTTTAACAGAGGACAGAATATGGAACACTGAAATCCGAAGACACATTGGAATAACAAAAAAAGACTTTTCAAAAGATAAAGTATTAAAAACCAGAAAATTTTCCTTAAAAACAAAGAAAAGAGTCCTGAATATTTATGAGATATCCATTCTTATCACTACCTGTATCGCGGTAAAGACTAGACAATTTTCAAGCAGATGAAGAGGAGACTTGAAAACAACAGAGGTGTGGCTCTACAGTAGGACTCTGAGAATCGCATGAACGGAGCATGTGAGCAAAAAGGAAACTTTAAGTAAAACGGAAACAAAAAGGTTACCTACATTTAGAATCAGAAAAAGACAGTTGAAATTTCTGAGTCATAATGATGAAAGAGAACTTGGAGAATTTGACACTTGCAGGACATATTGAAGGAACAGCAAGCAATTTTGTGTAAATAAATGTTAGATCGGGGACGGATAATAAAAGCAAACATTACTAAGAGTTACAAAGAATAGGAAGTTACGGAGAGCTATGATCAGCCACGTTCTGAAGGGGTACATAAAAGTATACTTTAACAGTGCGATAAAAAATATTGGGTCTTCATTTGTCAAAAAAAATCTTGCTTTAAAATGTATGTTATGAATGAATGGCATTTTTGCTTTTACAATAAATGAGTTACCTGCTCTCAGCTCTGTTTGCCTGTAACAATTATTCGTGCTATTAATTAAAAATCCGTAATATTCGTTCCACTAGAATGGAAGAAATGTCTAAGACGTGTAATATATTAATTTTTTAATGACTATGCAAAACAATAGATTCAAAATTAATAATATCCTTCTTCATATCTAATTTGAATAAAATATAAAATCCGTTTTTTATTTATTTTTCTATAATTTTTTTTTTCATATCGTTTAACCACTCCGGATATCGAATATCATTTTTTTTAAATTTGTAAATTTTAAAAGAGAGTTCAAGTTTGCTCTGTAAAGTTATTACAAATTGATCCCTAAGCTAAACAACAAATAAACAAATAATGGTAAGTAAGGGGAAATTATAATGGGTAATTGTAAGAACATGCAATAAATTCATAATTTGCGACTGTTTTAAAATTATTTGTAATTTTGTATGTATTATTAAACAATACCGGAAAAAGATAAGAATATTCATTAATAAAAACTTTTTTTTTTATTTTAATTTAAAATTATTTTAAAATTTTATGTTAGTTAGAATATACCTTATCGCGTAGTATAAAAATATTTTTTGGTTTACAAAGTGGGGATCAATTTACGATGAATTTACAAAGCAATCTAAAGCACCCTCCTAAAATTTATATGGTTATTCGTGAATATAGACTGTTGAACAATATGAAAAAAATTGAAAAAATATGGTTATTTCTTGGAGAGGTGCATTCCTGTAGAATGACGAAAATGTACGAAAATGTTTACAAGGATATATTTCGTGATTTCACATTCGATATAAATCATTCATTTTTACCGTATAAAAATTACATATATTTGCGAAAATTGCAACTTTATTATTTTTTTTTACTAATATACAACATATGAACACATTAGTAAATCATTTTCTCTAAAATACCTTTTTTTTATTTTTAATTATTCTAGCTATAATTTTTTTTAAATTAAAATTACATTAAAAATTCTCTCAAGTTTGGAGAATCTCCGAAATATTCAATAGAAAAGAAGATTTATCATTTTACAGATCAAAATGAAGACAAAGATATGCAATAAATGATTGTCGGATTGACTCTAATTTCAAGATAATATAAATAAATTAACAATATATACATAAGTTTTTGTATATGTTTTTTTTTTTATTTAATGCGCATTTTAAAATTCATAAAACATTAACTCGTTAATTATTTTTCAAATTTATATATGAAACAAACTTCTTTAATGCTATATTTTTCTACGTATGTTTAAAGTTATTCATGTTTTAAAAATATTTACACACACACACGTGTGTGTGTAGTGTGGAAAGAGTGTGTGTGTGTGTGTGTGTGTGTGTGTGTGTGTGTGCGATTTGCCTTCGGATATCCCCCGCGCCGACTTGATGGCTTAGATTGGAAGCCCAAGCGATTAACTCTGCCACTGCCCGAAGACAATCTTCTTTACCACCCACTTCTTATACCTTTTCTTGTCTTGTCTTTCCCTCGAATGTGTTTGGAGACTTATAAAGCCTAGCAACCAAATGTTCATCTCCACTTATATGTAAATTATTTCCGCTTATCACTTACCGCCAGCAATGCACGCCTGTTATTCCCCAGTACACGTTCTATTACCTACAATAATTTCTTCAATTTCATATTGCACGACTGCCGAGAAAGATTCCGGTGGTTGGGAAAAGAATTGCCATCATTTCGTTATTCATACCTTCTCTAGTGACGCACGTTTACTCTCTCGCTAACAACGTCCTTCTCTCTCTGTAAATATATGTATTATTAGAAGTCAATTTTATTATTTTAGATTTTATTAGTAACAGCTATGACTGAAATAAGATATTAAGATATTATATATAAATGTAATAAAGACTTTTTAAATAAATATATTTTATTTATAATTTTACTCATAGATTTTACTGATAAAATCTGAGATAATGAAATCTATTTTAAATAATATATATATAGAGAGAGAGCGAGAGAGAGACGGGGAGAGAGTGGAAGTGGAGAGGATAGAGAAAGGGAGAGACGAAAAAGAGAGGGGCGAAAATGTTTAAAAGACGAATATTTCTTTAACCTATGATTACTTATATCATTATACATAGAGTATAGCTCAATTACAATTCTGTACCTCCAATGATTCACTAAAAATTAGCATACGTGACACAAATTTAACAAAGACTAAGTTTAATCATCAAGTTCATTTTGTTATTATTGAGAGGAAAGATCAAAGGATTTTTTTTATGTAAACTTTTTTAATCTCTTTTAGAAGCTTCGAAATTTGGACCGAAAATCTTATTTTTCTTGCTTCAACGCTGGATCATAAATTTGTACTGGCAAATTGAGCATTATTTGCAGCAAAAACACATTGATTTGGAAATTCTTGCAATCAGATAATTCTCAAATTTTAAATGAAACGTTCAGGTTCTTTATTCAGAAATGAATGGTATTATTTTTAAACGTTTTTTTTCAGAAAATTTTGGTAAAAATATTTTTTACATCTATTGCTTTTCCACTCATTTAATACAATTTCGTGAAATTCTTTTTTGTAGGGTTTAATGTTTATATTGATTATAAGGACAAGTGCTCGAAGAAATTAAATCAATTTATGTTGGTCAAACAAGAACCATAGAAAATATGCTTTGAATCATAAAATAAAAAATGCAATAAAATTAAGACATATTTAATTAGAAAGGATTTTAGTTGATTTTATGAATAAAATATATTATGTACTGTTGTTTCGAATTTTTTTTTCAATGAGTGATGAATTTTTACAAGAATTGTTTATTTTTTTTATTTTAATTAGAATAATATGTAAACTTATAAAGCTATTAAAAGTCTATTAATTTATATCGGTCTAGTGATATTATTGTTAGACTAAAACTATTTACTAATTATAAAAAGAAAAACATGGAAATCAGCAACCTCCAGTATTTTAATTTTTTTGTATATGTGTACCTTTGTTTGTTAAATACGGACGCCCATACATGAAATTATTAGAAAATAATGGTGGTAAATACTTATAATTTATTATGAATTTTCTAACATTTCCTCAACAAGGGTATTTATAAGACCCAAAAGTAACTAAAATTCAATTAAATATTAGAACGTTTAAAATATTTCTAAATTTTTAATATTACTGAGTAGTTAAAAATATATTCAAAAAGTGTGTATGCTGTATTCGTTGGATAATTTTAATTATCTACTCCTCACATAAATTGGCGAGACATCAGGCTCTCAATAAACACCTCATAAAACAGCCACCTCAGTGTTAAAAGTGTTTTATTGCGATATTTTACTAAAAGTAAAATATAGTTATCTTTATTCTATTACTTGAGAATATTACATTTCTCATAACGAACCACTACAAAATTTATGGATAACTGCAAACATTTAAA